ACTTTGAAGTGATGCGTGACGGTTGGTAACTATGGCATAGATAACTGCCGGGCCCTAGGTAAGGTAAAAATGCACCTGATCGGACATAGAGACAGAGCCTCTAGTGGGGTCTACTCAGGCGAAACTCTGAATGCTTATACATTCAGAGGTTTTTTTTTATAACAGATACGGTACGGGACGGCATTAACGCTCAGAAATATCTAAAATATATTTTGTTTAAAAAATTAAAGAATATTGAGAACAAACTATATATGGTCAAGTCATGTTATCGTTTAGGGCCTATTAAGCATTTCATGAATCTATGATATATTATAATATTGACAACATCAATAGAACACATAGCTGGAATTGTGTCCAACCTGTTGTGAAAATGTACTGAATACTCAGTACATGTGAAAACACTAGCTTGCAAAAATAGTACTCACTGCTTTGCTTTGGCTCGAATTCAACCCTGACCACCAGGTGCAAGCTCGGTGGTCTAAAGGCATGGTGCCAGGCTAGTGATCTGGAGAACGTGGGTTCGAGTCCCACTGGAGAACAACTTGCAAATATTTTTTGCAAGTGTTTTCACACGCACTGAGTATTCAGTACATTTTCACGACAGGTTGGACAAAATTACACATATAGGCCCCCAACTTTAAAATACCATAAATACAAATGTGCGTGACGGTATTTTATTGCTTTAGAAATGTGATTTCAAAAAGTGTATTAGTGAATCACGCACTGAGTATCCAATACATTTTCAAGACAGGTTAGGCAAAATAAATTTGGCCCCTAATTGATTCTCCTGACGCAAATCCAGGTATTGTCTATTCCAAATTCCAATTCCAAATAAAGTTATTCCAAATCTTTTCAAAGCATAGATAAACAGTACAGATATATAAAAATGGAATTGGAAAGGGCAACCACAAACAAGCAGAGCTTTACAATAGTGGCGCCCGAAAAAAAGTAATTAAGATACTATTTCAAATTTACAAAGTAAGTCAAGGATTCCATCACGATGATAACAATTACCATTCAATAATAGAACAGTCATCGACTGTGAATTGAATCTAAAATGTATTCATGAAGTTATGATGATCTGAAGTGTTTGAAAACGTACACAATAATAGTTGAACCAACTATGGCTATGTTCAGACTCACGGAATAACAGTGGCTTAACTAACGCCAGGCGTACACTAATCCGCGGCATAACTGGTCATGGTGTTCAGACACAACGATTTACTTTCCATGATGCCAGCGTTAAAAACGGAAGTTCCGTCATCATTGAGCTTCCCTATTCAGAAACTCAGGGCTAGGCCTAGCCCACAACGAGGCCTAGCCCACAACGATCAAGTCGGAAACCTCACTGCTTCTCCACAAAACATGTTTTCTTTTTAACATTTTGTTATCGTTCTTTCTTTTTGTTTTTCTATTCAACTCTGTTGAAAGATATTGAAAGAAAAGCTAGGCCTATGCTCGCAGGCAATTGCCTCCTCGAGGGCCGAAAGAGAGTCCATTAGTCGTATCTTTTGATTGGGCGGCGCGTGACCGAGGTCAAAATCACTGATGCATCACTGGCGTTAGCAAAGCGGCGTTCGTTAATCTGGCCTCTATAGCTAGCTCTGGCCTCTATAGCTAGCTTTAACAACGCCAGGTCCGTGGCGTAACAGCTGGCTTACACTATTCCGCGGTCTAGTTCAGACACGAAAATTTGTATGCCGCTTACATAACGCTACTCTTATTCCGTGAGCCTGAACATACCCTTAAAAATACCACAAACACAAATGTGCGTGACGATAATTGTATTGCTTTAGAAATGTGATTTCAAAAAGTATATTAGTCCATCGTATACGTAAGGGCTTGTATTGTGTGTTTTTTTTTTACTTGCAGCGTTTGGGAAATAGGTAATAGGTAAATTGTAATGAATATAATCAATAACTATAGCCTCTAAAACCTAATATTATTGAAGGGTCCTTTTAAAGTTTGAATAGGATTTTTTTAAAGTTAAATTTTTAAATCATTATACCTATTGAATGAGCCCCCAATAGCCCCGGGCCCCAGTGC